ACTTTAATACTAACTTTTTCATTTCCAGAAGCCCACTAGTGGAACCAAAAGAACGACAATTTCCTCTCGACTTCTTTTGGGGCGTCGGTTCATCAACATATCAAATTGAGGGTGCTTGGAATGAATCTGGCAAAGGAGAATCAATTTGGGATCATCTAACACACAATTACCCGGAAAAAGTTGCTGATCAGTCAAATGGGGATGTTTCATCTGATATTTATCATCAGGTAAAATATACTTATTGTATTTGGATTAATTATATCAAATTACCTGAATATATAAATTGTTATTGGTTTTCCCCAAGTGCATCTAATTTTATATAAAATAATGGCAAGATTTGCTCTATTTTTATAAACGTTATTTTTTTCCAAAATTCTGGGAATATTATGTCGTGCTTTTTCTCGGATTAACAAGTTATAATTTGAGTTAGAATTTGAATGGTAGGCAAAGGTTTACTAAGCTTTTATGGTTGTAAAATGGCACTTTCATGCCTAGAAGTGATTGCATATAAATTACGATAAAAATTATTGACCGATTAACGAAGCAGTCTGAAGTGTGATGACATCCATGCTTATTTTTATATGTATTTTCCATTTTTTGTAAGACTACTTACATATTCAAATCAAACTGCTATAAAACTGAGCGTTTGGCCCGGTTTCTGAATCTAACTAAATCTCAATTAGTACAGAACAACAATCACTTAAAGTATAGAAAGTAGGCAAGCATACTAACTCAAAGAAAAACGAAAACTGTATAATGTATAATTTCTAGTCAAATTAATTCAATTAGTTTTAATTTCGTTATCGTCTACTAATTTATTTGCATTTTTTGTCTTTATTAGACGCCGAAAAAATATTACGAAAATTTGGAATTGTTGGAATGTGCTAAAGAACCTGGAAATGTTGCAAATTAATGAACTAAAAAAAACACTAGCCAGTGTAGTTTTGAAACAAGGTTTTCTTGTTATCTTTTCATTGCAGAGTAAAATCAATGTTCCCCTGTGCCACTAGAATGCACACTCTTTATCTGAATATTTTATATAAATTTGATTGCAATCTAAAGTGGAAAGGGTTTTTTGTCTCGAGTACGCTATTTAATTAAACTTTTCTATTTCCCTCCACACACTGGCGTCGCGATGTACACGTGTACCGATTTTCGATCTCATGGTCCCGCATCTAACCGGGCGGCTATATGAATAATGTCAACAGTGAAGGTATGTCAATATGGTTATGGTCTCGATTATTTGGCGCCCTCCTATAATTATCCTGGAATACCGAGCTATTTGTGCGCACACAATTTACTAAAGACACATGCCGAAGTGGTGCATATGTATCGTGACCAATATCAGAAGCTACAGAAGGGCAAAATCGGTATAACTACGGACACATCGTATATGCAACCGAAAACCGATTCGGACGATGATCGCGAAGCATCTGAGCGTGCTTTGCAATTCTTTTCGGGCTGGTTTGCACATCCGATATTCTCGAAAACTGGCAATTATCCGCAAATCATGATCGATCGCATAGGCAATTAGACCAAAGAACAAGGTTTCACTCGTTCACGTTTGCCGGAATTCACACAGGAAGAAATAAATCGTATACGCGGAACTTCGGAACAATACTGCTAATTTTCCCGTGCCATCATTCCATCAGGATATGGGCGTTGTCGAGGATCAAGATCCCAACTGGCCCGGTTCGTTAGGGTTAAAGGTAAGTGAAACTTAAATATTCCTCAATTAAATTTTTGATTTCTGAAATTGAAGTGCGTAGAAAGAGAGTTGAATATAGTTTGTTATTCATCATAATCATCATCAAACCATATACACATACATACATCAATACGATAGTGYAAACAAATTTGAAAAATAATTTATATACTATTTTGACAAAAAATTTAATAATTTATAATTACATAGGATTTCCATGAATTTATGCTCAAGTTCCGCTAGCCATTTTGAGTGAAGTGAAAACTCATTAAAGAAAAATATTACATGGTATGGAAAAAAGGTCGGAACGTTGAGGAATTTGATTCATTATATGACCTTTTAAGTTATAGGATGAGGATTAGAAGTTTTTTTGAGTAATATTTCTTATGTATAATCCAATAAGGTAATATCCGCATCGAAGATAATTACCATTAGAGATGTGTGAGAAAATTCGAATGAAATTCCGCAAGAGAGTTTGATAATTAAGACTTATTTAAATATAATCAATCCACTCCCACAATCCACAGTTTTTAAAAAATATAAAAAAATTTTAGTAATGAAAACATTTTTAATTACCAACTTTTAGGTTGTTCCCAAAGGCATTTACAATTTAATCATGTGGTTCATGCGAGAATGTGATAATCCGCCTATTATTGTAACTGAAAATGGCGTAAGTGACGAAAGCGACCTTGATGATTACAAACGCATTGCTATCGGCCAGCATTGAATGAATCCCAAATCAACACGATGGCACAGTTATCCGAAGTTGGGGCCGTTGGCAATTCTACATCTAGTGGGAGTGCTATATACAACACTTTAACCGGTCGAAGTTAGCATAACATAACATTACTTTTGTCAATTTTAACCGTTACAGTACTTTTCCACTGATGGGATGCGTATACAAAAGGATCATTTTATGGAGTGAACCAGTATTGCAGCCTTCAGCTCAAAGCTGTTAAGTAATGATTACTAATCATAATAATTAGTAATTAGATTATTTTTTTTTTTTGAAAGGTGAAGTAATGATTATATTACGATTCTTTTCAGATCCGGACGATTACTAATTGATTACGATTACAGATAATCGGAAAATAGTCAAGATTAATAAAAATTTCGAAAAAAATCAGAAATAATAAAAAGTAATCGAAAAATAATTTGACTACTTTCGAAGATTACTTTTGATTGTTTTTGATTATTATTATTTTTTTGACGAAATTATAGCACTAGTGTTTCATGCTACTACTGGTGTTCATCGATTTGATAATTGATAACCTGTTGCATTCTTCTTGATTCTATATTTGTTTCTAAGCACTAAAGTAGATGTAAAGCTCTTATTTCGTACAGAGGAGCGCAGTAGCAAAGGGCGCTTGCGGACAAAGTTTTTTGAAACAAGTTTTAAATACAACAGCCCAATTTTCTGAGTACAAATCTTTTAAGATCTTCTACCGCCAGTATGAAAATGGATGAAATGGGGTATAACCCCACTTACTCTGCACATAACGGTATTGGTAAGAACAACTAAAAGCGCGATAAATCAATAACTAAATACGCCAGAAACATTAAATTTTATCATCGAGATGGTATGAGAGAGTTTTATAGGACCCGGTGTGAAAATTGGACGATGTGCGTGGCACCACTTTGGTGAAATGATATGTCTCGAGACCTGACTGTTCCATATAGCAGAATTTTAAATTCCACTTGATTTAAGAAGCAATTAATATAACGGGATTAAAATTTGTACGAATATGCCTTTAGTGTCTGACACCTTATGACCAAAAATCGTTTAAATAAAATAAAAACTGTTCAAGCCGCTAGGTACCAAATATATAGACCCCGGTACATACAGTTGACTTTTGATTGAAAATGTCGGTCAGTGTGTCATATACATATATAACTAAAATTAAGGGATAATCCTCTCTTTTTGTGGAACGTCTGTATATCAAAAATGGGTTGCATCGGACCAACACTTCCCTTAGCCCCCATATATATACTTAATATAATTTTTGATTTTCGGAGTGACTTTCTACCGCATATATCGACCAATATGTGAGTAATTCCAATAAAAATAGCAGAGCGTGTTTTATTCATAACAGTGTATCTCTTTACCCAAAATAGGTAAATTTCAGCGAAAACATGGTCTACCCACTACATACATATATAACTAATATTAGGATTTTCGAACATCGGGCTGACTTTACTCTATATGTTTGGGTTTGCAAGTTGCAAGAGTATAAAATATTCGGTTTTCCCCGAACTTAGCCCTTCCTTACTACTACTTACCATTCCATTATTGTTAACATTTCGTCATACAAAATGATTCTTTTACGTAGTGCACAAAGATACAAGAGATAAGAGATATAATAATTTTTCAAATAATTTTACTCCAGCTGAATATACGATATACATATATACATATATATACATACATGTATACTCGAATATTTATGCACCCAATTGATGGACGTACGTTGTAATATTTTCTGAACACTTGGAGTTTTTAATTAACCCTTATACTTATTTGAGAATCTATATTAAATTCATTTAATTATATACAGGTACACGTTGCATCGTTTTTCGATGGAGGTTGAATAATTTCTTCTTCTGAATCCTCATCGTTTTCCATGTCAATTAAAGAGTTGGATCTGTGGAGAATTACGAGTTATGGAAGTCCGAATTATGGCAGTTCTGAAATTTTACAATGTATTTTTCTAGGCAAGAAGCTGTAGCTTTGTCGAAAATCGCGGTAACGGACGACTCTAGCATATACATACGTATGTATATAACAGCCATATAAACTCAACTTTCAAAATCAAATTTTTATGTGGAAAAATTTTTTAGTCGTGAAGGTTTTTATAGGTTCGGTGCAACTGAAGTAAATATTTTTTCTGCTTTCAAACTTTGTCCAATTTCGACAATTTTTTTTTTTTATCAAAAATCAGTAAAATCAGTTTTGTTGATATGACCGTTTGGTCACCAGACCAATTGGGTATTGAACCACAGTATAATAATATTGTATTTATAAAAAATTATAACTGCATTTGATAAAATTTTTGGCCATCTTCACACTCAATGTCCGTGAGTTAACGTAAGCACATTTGACTAAAAGAATTTTTCTGGAATGGCTATTCGAAAGCCACTGTTGCTTTTACAAAAGTACGTTGTCCGTTAAAAAAATATTTAAACTACATAAATACTACTATTTGTATTGTGTTGTAAACCAATTTAAAAAAGTAAATGAAATACGAGCTGAGCTTTAAACAAGAAATATATAACACAACTGAAGCATTTTTTGCAACGTTTGCACAATATTTGTTTAGTGTGTGTTAAAATTGGTTGAACGCAATAAGATTTGTGAGTAGTCGAAAAAGTCTTTTCGTATTTCTAATTAAACTTCAACTTATTTTTTTTTATATGTATAATGAACTTTAATAAACCAAATATGTACCATTTTTTGGTATTTTTCCGCTAGAGACATTACTCCAGCAGTGTAAAAACTTGTATGGTTTCTCGGCGAAAAACTGCGACAAGCAATATTCTCTTGAACCCAACTTTACTCCATTAAGGAAGTTCTGCATTGGCCGAAACAAATGGTAGTCCGATGGTGCGGTCTAGCGTTGTCCTGATGGAAGACGAAACCCTTTTTGTTGATCAGTTTTGGACATTATTTTCGACTGCTTGCTTCAATCTCATCAGTTGTTGACAGTAAAATGTAGAATCGTCGTTCGGCCAGGCTGGTGCAGCTCATAATAGATGTTTCTGTTCCAATCCCACTAAATGCTCAGCATAACCTTTCGAGGCGTCAATACCGGCTTTGCGACTATTCGTTGAGCTTCACCACGCTTGGACCATGATCTTATTGTATTGCCTATCATTATTGACGTATTTGATCTACTATTTGTCTCCTATTATCATTCGCTTGAGAAATGGGTCGATTTTATTTCATTTAAGCAAAAAATCGCAGTATTCGGTCTATTAAATTTTACACAGACAATTCATGTGGTACCCAAACATCGAGCGTCTTTTTGTAGCCAGCTTTTGGTTCAAAACCGTTCGATGATGAATGTTAAGTTCCTTAGCGATGTCATGGCTGCTTATATGATGATCCTGATCAATCTCTTCCATAATTTTCTCGACCACCATCGACGTCCACCAATATTGGCAAAAGAAAATTTCCAGACAAATTCATTTGGGGCTTTGATTTGTCAGCATATCAAATTGAGGGTGGTTGGAAGGCGTCTGGTAAAGGAGGAAGGAACTTGTTGATTGAACAAATAGAGAGCAACAGACAGTTATCATCTAGTAAAAAATACAAATATAACTAGGTATACTATAAGTATTCTGAAGTCATACAAAGTTTTCGTGGTTTTGTTCGAAATAGTCATATTCGTATAGGGCCGCAAGGAACTTTGCTCTATTTTCATAAATATTGTTTCTTCATAAAGTTCTAGGAATAATATCGTATTTATTCATATGATATATCTAGACTCTTACGAATGATAATTTGCACTGGAAACTGGTATGCAAATGTTTGCAAATTTTCTGTTGTTGTTAAGTAGCACTTTCATGACTCCAATTGATTGCTTAGAAATTACAATGAAATTATTGACCAATTAACGAGCCTATGTAATTACTTTCAATGTACATATGCATTTCTACATATACATAGTATGTATTTTTCAATTTTTTGTAAGAGTGCTTACATATTCACATAAAGTTTTTCCAAAACCGAGCCTGGTTTATAACAACACTCGTTCATACTAGTAGTACGTAAGAAAATTAGTCAAAATCAGCTTAAAGTATAAAAAGTAAGCTTAGAATATTGCCTAAACAAATGTGCGAAAACAAGAAGAAGTAAAATCAGCCGATAGTTGCATAAATGTCCAAGTTCCCCAACAAATTCATC